GGGCTTTCACCAAATAAAAATGCATCCAGATTCGAAGGCAAAGACTGCTTTCTCAACCCCTTTCGGACATTATCATTATAACAGAATGCCTTTTGGCCTCAAGAATGCTCCATCCACATTCCAAAGACTTGTTGACAAAGCACTGACGGGACTTCAAAACGTTGAACTATTTGTTTACATGGATGACATTGTCATCTATGCAAAAACTCTGAAAGAACACACGCTTAAATTAACAAAACTTCTTGAGAAACTTGACAGAGCTAAGCTTACTTTACAACCGGAAAAATGTATATTTTTAAGAAAAGAAGTTACTTACCTCGGTCATGTTATTTCTCAGGACGGTGTGAAACCTGACCCGAAAAAAATCGAAGCTGTCAGAAAATTTCCCAAGCCTAAAAATCCTAAAAATATTAAACAATTTTTGGGACTTGCTGGCTATTACCGTAAATTCATAGAGAATTTCTCGACCATTGCGAAGCCATTGTCTTACCTCCTTAAAAAAGACGTTAAATTTATGTGGACAGATGCACAGGAAGAAGCTTTCAATAAATTGAAGGATATTCTTTGCACTCAACCTCTGCTCCAATATCCAGATTTTACGAAAGATTTTATTGTAACAACAGACGCCTCTCAATACGGTATTGGTGGCGTTCTGAGTCAAAATTTCGATGGAAAAATTCTGCCCGTTGCGTACACATCCAGAACCCTTATAAATGCGGAAATAAATTATTCTACGATCGAAAAGGAACTTCTCGGAATTTTATTTTCGGTAGAATCTTTTAGACCGTATTTATTTGGAAGAAGTTTTAAAATTCAAAGCGATCATCAACCCTTGATATGGCTTCACAACATGAAAAATCCCAATTCAAGATTACTCCGATGGCGACATCGTTTGAGTGAATACGATCACGGTATCGAGTATATTAAAGGTACAAAAAACACTGGAGCAGATGCATTGTCCCGTAATCCATGTGACATTACTGATGAAATACTGTATGGTCTACAAAAGGACATTACTTTTAATGACGAAGTTGATCCAATGGAAATTGATCCTACTCCACAGCATAAGGTGAACGATACACCTGTGCATTCCACCCTTACAATTGACGAAATTGAAAGTAATGCTCGATTAGAGGCAGTATTTCTCAACATTCATTGGACGGACAATGCAGATGACCAAAAATATTTTGGTAAAAATAAACCAAAATTTTTGCAAAATGACGATTTTGCAAATTGGAAATCTTGTGAGAATCTTGAGGCCACTGAAACTATTATTGATATTAGCAATATCGATAAGAAAAATTTATCTGATTCCGATGGAGTCATTGACCTTGAGGATCACAAGGTGAACTGCAGTCACGAGATTAAAATCAATAATCTTGATTCCGATAAGGTCATTGATTTCGAGGATCAAAGTGTGGACTGCAGCCATGAATGGACGATTCGAAATAGTTCGTTGGTCCATGAGAATAATGAGATTCTCAAATCCGATTGCGGAGAATCGGATATTAAAGGTGGTGGGAATCTCACAAGTACTGTACAAAATTGTATTGAAATTGATCAAATTAATAAAAAATTTCTAGACAGTGATCTTGATTTGGATTTCAACTTTGAGCGATGCGAGACCTGCTATCCATTACAAGACAAATCAAATTCTCATTCTTCCCAAAATAACAATTTTTCTTGTATTAAAATTTCCAAAGAAAATTTGTACATGCGCGATGATAATCTAGCAATTTTCATTCCTGCGGACAGAAAATTAACGACAGAAACAAACAGACAGTTAATTGATAACAATAGAATGGTAATTGATGACTTACTAAAAGCTGACGAAAACTTGATGGAAGTTGGTAACGCAATCGCATTCAAACATGAAAATTCCTTTATTTTCAATTTAGTTGTGAAGCCATCATTCGATTCCAAAATTGAATTTTCAGATATATCCTCAGCTCTTCAAGGATTGAAATTCAGTATGGATGAATTGAAAATAAATTCAGTCAGCATTTCTCGTGTTGGTAACGGATTGAATCGTGTATCATGGCCTACTGTGGAATCTGAAATAAAAAGGATTTTTGGCAATGATAATTATTCAATCACAATCTGCTACGCTGAGGTAGAGATACCACACGAAAATGACATACCCGGTATTATTAGCGAATATCATTCTTCTACTTCAGGTGGCCACAAAGGCGCAATAAAAACCTTGGAAAGAATAAAAGAAAATTTTTATTGGCCCAATATGCGAAATTCTATCCGAGATTTCGTTAGAAATTGTGAAGCTTGTAAATTAAACAAGCTTGTCCGAGTAAAAACCCGACAACCTATGTCCATTACAGATACTCCATCCGAAGCATTCGAGAAAATTGAAATGGACATCGTTGGTCCGTTACCTGAAACAGAAAAGGGTAATAAATATATCCTGACGATCCAGGATAATTTGACCAAATATTCTCTCGCTATTCCTCTGCGAAGAATAGATTCCGTTTCAATTGCGAATGCTTTGGCCGAAAATTTCATCGCAAAGCACGGATGTCCCAAAAGTATCCACACAGACCAAGGACGAGATTTCACGAGCAAATTAATGAGTAATCTTTGTAAAATTCTCAAGATTAAAAAACTCTGCTCAACAGCGTTCCATCCACAGTCCTTGGGTTCCTTAGAGCGCAGTCATCATGTATTAATCCAATATCTAAAAAATTATTGTGATAAAGATAACTGGGACAGATGGGTACCTTACGCGATTTTCTCGTACAATACATCCAGACATGAAGGCACTGGATACACCCCTCATGAACTCATTTTTGGTAAAAGTGCTCGACTTCCTTCTGAATTTGCAAAAAGGAATTTGCCCATGACGTTCGATTTATTTCTGAAAACATTATCAGAAAAAATTATCGAAACACAAAAAACAGCAAAAGACAAACTTCATGCAGCGAAAGAAAAGGCGAAACATTATTATGATCTAAAATTAAATTCACAAAGTTTTGAATTAGACGATCTCGTTTATTTGCAGAAAAACGACAGGAAAACAAAATTGGACCCAGAGTATTCAGGCCCATATAAAATTATAAAAATTTTAGATGATAATAATGTTGAGCTTCAAATAAGTCAAAATAAAACGAAAATTGTTCACACAAACCTTCTTCGACCACAAGCTTTAAAAATTTTCTAATTAATAAGTTTGAAAGTAAATAAAAATTTTAACAGTGAAAAAAAAAAAAAAAAAAAAAAAAAAAAAAAACAGAAAATTTTTGTTTCACGTCACAGCTACATTTAATTATGCTCGCTGCTCCTTTTCATTGGGGGAGGAGTGATTCATGAGCAACTTTATTTTTGCTCAAAATACTATTATTCCACCACATAAAACACAATTTTCGTTATTATTTAACAATTTCTTAACACTGCTGATAGTCGACAAACTTTTCACGACACATAACCTAAATTCGATGTCCCTTTAAACTTACGTACAGTACACATGTTCATTCACCTGAGCTCACTTGTTCAGCTGTCGTCTGCTATTGCAACATTAAGCACCTTTTACAGGTTGCGCAATAACGTTCACTTGTGAACTTGTCCAAGTGACCGCGCATCGTTCGATTGTAATTTGATTTTAAAAATTAAAGTAAATAAAATGTAAATCATGTAAATATTAAACTTACAATCCATAATTAATACTTTAATTTTAAATTAATTTTCTAACAAAAAATTTTCATTAAGGGGAAAGGTGTTACGATCGACTATATTCTCGATCGGGTTTTAGAACGATATATCGAATCAGATATCGACGATGTATCGGACAAATAAATTTAAATAATTTAATGTTCAAAATTATTTAATATTAAACGAAATAAAATCTTTTCTAAAAAATGTTTTCACGATTGACTTTCTGAAATATAACACTTCAGAAAATCAAAAAAATACCATGACTAATTCTGTCACGGTTTAATTTGGTCCCACGTCTCAAATTCATTTTCTAAAGTAAACAACTTTCAAGATATCCACAAAATAAAACAAGTAAATAATGTTAAAGAAATTCATTCTCGAATTTCCCTCTTAAAATCTTAAACCCTTAAAAGCCATAAAAATCTATCGAGATTTTATGATCCTTCTCTCCGCGGGACACTACACATGTGTTGACCAGACGTGGAACCTCGAGTCGCAAAATCGAGAAAGTCACGTTCTGGTATAACAAAGAAATCTTCTTTAACGAAAACGGCTTTGTATTATTTTATAATTATTTATATAAATTCCATATCAGAATATCATCTTCTCTATAGCATCTATATTATATCAACATTGTACGAATGGGTGTTTCATAAATTATAATTCGCATTAAATATACTTTGTAATTAATCATAATATTTTATTATTAATTAATTAATAATAAAATAGCTTATAAATTTATATAGCAAAATAATAATAATATTTTAATTATTATTAATTGGATTAAATACGAATTTATACGTAAATATCAATTGTAGTATGATAACGTATGTCAGATATGTGAATGTTCATGTTTATATGATAACGCATATAAACATGATATCTATAAGTATATCTAGAATTAAAAAGTGCATAGTGCAGTGCGGCTGAATGCATCGCCTCGTAGATGCATCGAACTATAGTTGCGACATGCGCAAAGGACACTTACTAGATCTTAGAGCTGAGTCGGACTTCACAGCGAAGATCTCTGTTCTAGTATAGTCAGTCTTAAGATATTTGTACTCCTGGTTGGATCTATGCTCTTGGATCCAATCCTCTGTATATTGAACTTATCAAATAAATACCAAGGGTTTTATTCTAATTGTCGAACGATAAATAATTAATTATCCTTTTAATTATTAATTTGTCGTTCTCAATTAGAGGATTTTTCCCTCCGTTAAACGGAATTTAATATTCTTATTATTTCAAATTCCCGCTTTCTTTTTGAAGAATTCAACTAAGGTTGAATCCGAGAATTACTTAGTCAAGTAGCGCTTGCGCGAATTAAATATTGGCTTGGCACGTAACAATATACTAGAGTTCAGTGGTTTCAGCGCCCTGTGAAGTCTCTGCTATTAAAAAAAAAAGACTTTGTTGTGAAATGGGGTAGGTGAACGATAAAACGTCAACCTGCCTATTTGACACTTGAAGGTGATAAACAAATTAAGTGATGTCGTTACTTCAAAATACTTGTGAATACAGAAAAAACAAGTTCCACGAATCAAAACAAAGCTTTCGATAACATATTATACGCGTATAACTTAACCTACGTTAGAACTAACTATATACACATGAGTCAGCTGTTTAATAAACACGGAATTATTTATTATTATGATTAATGAATTTTGAATTGAGTGTATAATAAAAGGTGCAATTTATAAATATTGTCAATTTAGTGAATTATACAATAATGCGTCTCAGTTAGCATGATGCCTCAGTTAAAAGGATTGCCAGTTTTTATTTTTCCACATAGTATTAAATTTTATATGGATGATCAATCCTCTCATAAACAAGTTTTAACTCTATACAATCCCTACGATTTTCGTCTAAAATTTCAAGGTATGATTTATATTTTAAATTTAACAATAAAAATGTAAATATTTAGAAATATCTTTACAAAATACATATAATATGGCAATAATTATTGAAATTTAAAATATGTAAACATTCAATTAACAGTATTATCTAAGTTAAACTATTTGTGAATATAAAAAATATTTTTGTTTACGTTTTGCAAAAAAAAAAAGTTAAGCAAGGAATTAAGTAAAATAATTTAACAATAATAATTTTTTTATTAACATTCTAGTTTGTCTTGAAAAATCCGCACAACGTGATAAATATACAGTTGTCGATTCAGAGGGAACAATAAAGGCAAAATGTTGTATCGATATTGTAATTCGACATATTTCAGCTGTTCCGTCCAACTGCAATGTTGTCGATAGATTCAGCATAGATGTGGAAGCATATCCAACGAAAATGGTAAACTAATAATTAACTAAACAAATAAACTTTCTTAATTTAAATAATTATGCGCCTGATGTTCAAATTTTTTTTTGTATTTGTAGACAAAAAAATGGTTTTGTTCATTTGAACGTTCAGAAATTCAGGCATATAGAAAATTAATGTAAAAGAAAATAATAGTTAATTTGTTAGTATATAAATTAAAGGTAATTTAATAATTTTTTTTTTATTTTCAGTTTGCTGGTAGACAAATAGTTATAGCAACATTGCTCAGTACCAAAGAAAATGTCGGAAGAGAAACCCCGGATATTGATACATTTCAACAGTTTCCAAGAAGCGAAACGAAACATCAACAGTCATCGTATGCATTAATTGCACAAAATCGATCTGTCGATAGTAAGTCTCTAATTTTTATTAACTAGTAGATTGAGAAAAAAAATTTTCTTAAAATTAAAAAATTTGACAAAGGACGATAAATAGAAATAAATAAATACGATAAAAAAAATTATAAACAGATATTTTAGGTGTAAAGCAATTTTTCACGCTTCGGATTATATGACTTTTTCGACTATTTCCGACTTTTTTTTCAAAAATACGACTTTTTTCGACTTATTTTATGCGACTTCAAAATGCAACTATTACGACTTTTTTTACCTTTTTAAAAAAATTTTTTAAATAAAATATATTTTTTTTTAGTATAAAATGCAGATCTTCAGATTTTCTTTATTTCAATTATTTAACAAATTTTTAACTAAAATTCTTCACTAAATTAATTATTTTTAATAATTTTAATGAAATTCATCACAAATTTAATTATTTCAAAATTATTTTTCAATTAAAATTTTTATAAAATTTAACAATTGTTTATAATTTTGAAAAAAAAATCAAATAAAATTATCAAAAAATTTTAATTCAAAATCAAATAAAATTCAATTATTTTGAAAACTTTCAATTCAAAATCAACTAAATTTTAATTATTACCCAAAATTTCAATTCAAAATCTTTTAAAATTTAATTATTTTCCAAATTTTCAATTTAAAATCAAATAAAATTCAATTATTTTCAAAAATTTCAATTCAAAATTAATTATTATCAAAATTTTCAACCAAAAATCAACTAAAATTAAATTATTATCTAATATTTTAATTAAAATTCAATTATTTTGAAAACTTTCAATCAACTAAATTTTAATTATTACCCAAAATTTCAATTCAAAATCTTTTAAAATTTAATTATTTTCCAAATTTTCAATTTAAAATCAAATAAAATTCAATTATTTTCAAAAATTTCAATTCAAAATTAATTATTATCAAAATTTTCAATCAAAAATCAACTAAAATTAAATTATTATCTAATATTTTAATTAAAATTCAATTATTTCAAAAAATTTGATTCAAAAACTTTTAAAATTTAATTATTTTCCAAATTTTCAATTCAAAATCAACTAAATTTTAATTATTACCCAAAATTTCAAATCAAAATCTTTTAAAATTCAATAATTATTTAAAATTTCAATTCAAAATTTATTATTATCAAAATTTCCAATCAAAAATCAACTAAAATTAAATTATTATCTAATATTTCAAATAAAATTCATTTATTTACCAAAATTTTAATTCAAAATCAAATAAAATTCAATTATTTTCAAAAATTTCAATTCAAAATTAATTATTATCAAAATTTTCAATCAAAAATCAACTAAAATTAAATTATTATCTAATATTTTAATTAAAATTCAATAATTTCCCAAAATTTAATTCAAAAACTTTTAAAATTTAATTATTTTCCAAATTTTCAATTTAAAATCAAATTATTATTATTATTATTTCTAAAATGTTCCATCGAAAATATTTTGAAATTTATCAATTTCAATTATAACTCTAAGGAAATTCAATTATTTTTAACTATTTTTATAATATTCTTTGAAAATTCAACTATCTGAAACCATTTTTCAATTAAAAATGGTTTTCAAATTATTTGTGTTTTTTGTTTAATAAATTTCAAAAATCTCAATTGTAAATCTTTGAAAATTCAATTACATTTAAAAAATGTTATCTGAAATTATTTTTAGTTCTGTAAAAGTTAATTATTGTCTGAAAATTAACAAAATCTTTTAAAATACAATATTATTTCTAAAAATTTCAACTTTAACCGTTCCAAAAGTATTATTATTTTTAAAAAAATTTTATTTAAAAATCTGTAAAATATTTTTGTTAAAATAAAAAAAAATCGACTTTTTCGACTTTTTTTTTGTGCCTTTAAGTCGATCCGAGGACTGATTTTTTGGTACTTTTTCAGGAGGAACGAATTACGTGGCACTAATGGCAGCTCTAATTTGCATGGTCGGATTATTTCTTCCCACTGAAGGTGATAAAAATTCTAATATACCTGAGTACCTTCATTTAACGATAAATTTTAAAATTATCCTTGCATTTGTACTAGGTAAGTTTTCTAAAAAAATAAATAAATAAACTATTCTATTTATTAAATTATTTTTCACCATTTTAGAATTTTCATTTTATTGACAAAATAAAAAATCACTGATTTCTATTCCTGTGAAAACTTAATAAAATATGAAATTTTTTGTTTCAGGAATGGTGACTATCATTACATTAAGGCTTTAATGTAACGATAAATTGAAATTAATTGAAATATAATTTATAAATGGGATAATATGAACAAAATTTATATTCACTTTTAGTTATAAGTTAACTGAAATTTTTCAGTTGATATTAAATCCCATCTCATTAATCTCAGGTATCAAATAAAATTAAGATATCTCAAAATTTTTTAAACATCGATTTTAAAAAGCTTATTCCCCTTTCTCGACTGATAAAATAAATTTATTCTATAACAATTAAATGAATATTTATATATGTATATTATATTATATAACTTAATCGTAATTATTTTATGTGCTGACTGTTAATATTTATAATATTGTCATGTTTTTTTTTATACATGTATTTGATCTCTAGAATAATATATTATATAATATTGTGAGAAATATTTCACGTCAATGTACACTGTACAAAGTTTGTTTTAAGTTTCAGTCATCGAAAGAAAAATTGTCTCAGCGTAATATATATATACTATACAAAGTTTATCTACGGTTCAGGGAATACTTGACAATGATATTTTTATCGATATATACATATAATCAAATAAAGAATTTTCATTTGCTTCGATATATATATGAAAAATGAAAAAAAAAATCACAAATCATTGATTGCGTATATTTCTTGTGGAATTTTATTCTTTCTGGGGAAAAAAAATGACAACAAAAAGAAGTACCTTGTTCCTTTAATTAAAGGAGTTTAGTGTATTACAGTGATACTGTTTTTTTTTTTTACTTCTAGTTGTAACTTTTACAAAATATACTGTGAATGTTATTGTACTTAAAAAATTCGTATATAATTAATTTTCTATATCTGTGATAATTTATGTTATGTAATTTGATTCATTTTATTACATTTAGTTAATTATTTTAATTGCTTATTTAATTATTCCATTTAAATCATTTTCAATTATTAATTATTTTTAAATAAATTATAATTTTTTTTTATCTTAACATTTTACACACAGCCTTTTTTTTTTTTTTTTTTTGTTTTTATTTAAAATTTATAACACGTTCAGAGATATTAAACTCTTTTTGGTTAAAAATACTTATGTGTTAGAAATATAAAACAACTAATTTGTTTAAAGATTAAAAATTGTTTAAATTCAAAAAAAAAATTCACATCTTCTGAAGTTATCTTCTTTTAAGAAGAATGATAAAAATACCAATAGTAGAAAAATTAAAACCACTTGTTGGTGAAAAGTGCAAAATTTGAAAATTCTTAATCTTGTACTTGGTCCCTATTTTTTTATATTAATACTTTATTAATTTCTATTCTCACATTTGTAAATTTCCACTTGTAATAATTTAATGTAACCGCATTATATATTAGTTGTTTTAATTTTTAAGGGGTTGGTATATCTGCTTAGTGAGAGAATAGAGAATAACTTCAAGTTCAGAAAGTAAACTCATAAACTGGTAGCCGTTGACCACGGTCGTATATACAGGTCCCGAAACTTCTCAGGAGCACCGTTGACAAAAGTTAAAATTAAGCAAGCATACAACCGAAGCTACTAGAAACAAGGAAATTTATAAATAAACAATAGTCGTTTTTTTGTTGTTGCCGAAAAATATATAGTTAAAAAAATGATTCGATCACTTAGTGTTGAACGATTAAAAGAAGAAGAAACTATCGAACTTGATACAAGAATGGTTCCAAAAATTTTAGTAAATTGTTATAATCGAGGTTGTGGTCAAAAGTTTGATCCAAATGCAAATGAAGAAGGTAATTTAAAAAAAATATATATATATTTCCATAATTTTTAATCTTATTTTTCATTTATAAGAATCTATTATTTCGAAATATTTTTATCATAATTTTTTGAGGTTATCTCCGTGATTGTTATGCGTTTATTCTAAAATTTTTTTTAATTTTATTTGAAAAATATTTATTAGATTTATTTTTTTATAAAATTTAATTAATTTTTATATGGTAAAAGTTAAATTAGAACAAAATTTTATTTCATTTTTATTAGAGCAATGTTTTAAATTAGAGCTGTAATGATTTAAACTGGCTTTAAATTACACAGTTCTTAATATTAAATTTTTTTAAATTTTATATTTAATTTATTTTTACATTGAATTTTATATATTTCAAGTTTTAAAATTCATCTCTTAATCTGGTTGGTGAATATTCTATTGACTGTTTATTAAAAGTTATTTACCTTTTAAAAATGAGCCAAAAGTTCTGAACGTTCAAATGAACAAAATATTTTTTTCAATCTATAAATTATTAAAAATTATAATATTAATGTAAAATAAAACAGAAAAATTAAACAAATATTAAATTAATAACTTCTTTTTAGATATTTAAAATAATATTTTGTAATAAAATTCATACTTAAAAAAGTTAAAAAAAAAAAATTTTTGTTCATTTGAACGTTCAAAACTTTTGGCTCATTTTTAAAAATAAAAAAAAATTTTAAATCATGCCATTTTGAAGAATATATATTTAATAATCTTTATGTCAAAACTATCATAATCAGTTAGTAACATAATTTAAAAACATATGAAATAATTTATTTAAGAAATTTTACTATAAAATTATTAAACGAAACATTAATTTTTGGACAGTTTTCTTAATTTATTATTCAAAAATGTAATTTTCTTTGATAAAAATATAAATATTTCCTAATGCTTAAATTATTAAATTTATCGTTTAAGTATTTATTTAAAAAAAAAAAAAACGATCGATCTAAAAATGAACTTTTGAAAAAATGTTACTTAATTAAAAAAAAGTAAAAGTAACAAAAATTTAAATTTTACATAAAAATAAAAAAATACCATTGAATGTTTTTTTTGTCCTTAATTAATTTTAATAATATTTTTAGAATTGTGTTTTCATCATCCCGGTGAGCCAGTATTTCACGATGCTTATAAAGGTTGGTCATGTTGCAATAAAAAATGTACGGATTTCACGGAATTCTTGAATATCAAGGGATGCACAAGATCATATCATTCGGATGTGAAACCACCTGAACCGGAAAAGCCAATTGTCGATAAATCAAAAGCCCATGAAGTTATTGAAGTTCGTGCTCAACCCCTTAATATTGGCTCAAAATTAGAGAGGCCCAATTTTCAATTACCATGTGTATTATTAAAACCAATTGTATCACCATCACTTTTAGAACAATTGAAAGAATCAACAACATCTTCACAATCGTCACTTAATTCATCTGAAATTAGTGTTGGCCAAAATTGTAAAAATAAATCATGTAAAGGAATTTATCAAGGACCTGAATCCAATAAAGAAATTTGCCATTATCATTCGGGTGAGCCAATTTTTCACGAGGGATTGAAATATTGGTCGTGTTGCCAAAAAAGAACAACGGATTTTTCTGCATTTTTGGAACAACCTGGTTGTGTCGAGGGAGAACATTTATGGATTTCAACGGTGAATTATTTTTTGTAAAAAAAAAAAAAAAATTTCTCTGTTTGAATCAAGATACTTTTTATCATAATTTTTGATTGTTTTAAAATAAATATTTGTACTTTTTTTTTTTTTAAAGGATACTGGTAACAAAATTAGCTGCAGATTAGATTGGCATCAAACTGGATCATTTGTGTACATTTCAATTTATGCCAAGAAATATAATCCAAATCAATCATCAGTAAAATTGAATCCAATTCATTTGATCGTTGATCTACATTTTACAGACAATAGTTCTGCGTACAATCTTGACACTGAATTATTTGGGGTATTTTTTCATTATATTATAAAACTTAATTTATTGATTTTTTTTTTATGTTTGTAATTTTTTTTTTCTAGATTGTAGACGTTGAAGAAAGTGTCGTAAACATGCTTCCATCGAAAGTCGAGATCAAATTGAAAAAGAAAGAACCTGGTTCTTGGACAAAATTGGAAGTTTCTCAAAGGAAATTAACAGAATCTAAAGAATGTCAAGAGAACAGTAATACTGAAAGAGTAAATGCCATAGATCTCAGTGATCTTTAAAAAAATTCTATAAATAATTTTTTTTCACATTTTCATAATTTTTACTTTATAAAAAAAAAAAAAACATTCGCTTGAGTTATATTTAATATTTAGTAAATTCAATTATACGCACAGAGATTAATTACTCTGATAAACGGACAAAAAATATTTTCTTACATTGATTATCAATTTCTTCCATGAATTAAAAATATCTTGAAATTTGCTTGATACTGGTATTTTTTAAATATTCAAATTTGACACATATATATGATGTATTAAAATAAATTTTCATATTTCATTTTTATAATTCAAATTATTTTACATGTCTGAAAACTTAATAGTTCTTTATTGATAACAATTTAAAAATTTTAATTTTGTTTCAGAAATATTCTAATATTACAAAAAAAATATGTTACTTGTGAGTAAGAATTTCTGAAACGTGCTACCTGAAACTGAAAAAATTTATTTTTTGTTAAAATGTTATTTTTCTTAAAGTATTTTATATGCACAAACACCACCTAAAACGATTTTGCAAAAAAAAAATTTTTGTTATTAACAATTTAATATATCTTTGAAATTAATTTTTTTAAAAAAAGGGTCAAAAATATAAAATTGTTAATAACAAAAAATTTTTTTTTGCAAAATTATTTTAAGTGGTGATTGTGCATATAAAATACTTTAAGAAAAATAACATTTCAACAAAAAAAATAAATTTTTTCAGTTTTAGGTGGCATGTTTCAGAAATTCTTACTCTTGTACTTTTCACTAATTTTATAAAGAAATATATTTTTAAAAATCTAATCTTTATTATAAGCATAAAAAGAATTTAATTAAAAAAAAATTTTTTTTTTTACATGTAATTTATTTGAAATTTATTTCCAAAACTTGTCATTATGCGCGTGCATTATAATAAATTGTCCTCTTATTAGTTCCTTATTTTTTTGGGTATATTATTGACTTTGTGTCAAATTATTTTAATTGTGCAATTAAAAACTAAAATCTACCTATGCATTTGCGTAATGAATCAAAAATAATTCAAACCACTGATAATTTTTATTTTTTTCTGCATATACATAAAATAAAAACCTTGTTTTAAACATTTCAAATATTTGCGGAAAATTAAAAACCAATAAGATGTCATCGTCGTTACGCATGCGCAATATTAACGGGATCAATGTGACAGGTTTTGGAAAATTGTTTAAACTTTAAAGTTTGTATTATTTTAATTAGCAACGTGTATTGGGCAAATTTTTTTCATTTACATTATTATTAATTAAGAATATAATTTTGTTTTAATGTTGTGATACTTGTATTAGAAATTAAAGAAGATAAAAACGAATAATCATTTGTTACTAACTCATCAATTTGTATTAATATAATGAAATATTAAATAATTTTAAATAACATAAAAAGAAATTGTCACGTGATTATGAAAAAACGGTGTTTCTTTTAGAAATGGAATTAGCAAAACATGTATGGAGAAGATCCTTACTTGCATATAAAACTAATGCACGATCAACATTACGAAGAGGGTAAAATTTTCAACATAACCTCAAAAAATTTATTCAATTATCTCTTATCTCCCGATGATTTTTGTTTTTCAACACCATAAGATTAAGATTTCACTTTAAACAATTTATTATCACTTTTATGGGGGAAAAAAAATAATTTTTTTTTAATTAAAAAATATCTATTATAAAGAAATAATTTTTATGTTATCTTTCAAAAATGTTTGAAATTTATAATATTCATTGTTTTATAAATGATATCAATGTTGTAATTCATTTATATTACCAATTAAATTTGTGCAATTTATAATATATAGTAAATATATTTTTCATTTATTGTGTTCTTTAGCAGTACTTCAACGACTTCAAATGTAGCGCAAGCTGATATTAACAGAGACGGTGAATATCGTTCGACAGGACCTGAAGTACTAGTTAAATCACAAAATGTATTTAAAGCTCTTGGTGCTACTGATGAGCTTTCTTCTTATATAGGATTGGCAAGAGAATTTGCATGTGAAGGAAAGACTGAACATCCCTATGTTGATAAATTGAAAAGAGTTCAAATGATACTCTTTGATCTCAATCATGCCATTTCAAGATCAGCGCCAGGTAAAATAAAACAATTTGAAAATCATCATACAAAAGATCTCGAGGAATGGATTTCCGAATATTCGAATCAACTTCCACCTGCTGAGGATTATATTATTCCTGTAAATATCATTTTATTAATTTATCTATCTATGATGTATTCCACGCCAAAGTGTAAAATTGCATCTGGGTCAGAATTTCTCAAACGGATCACCTAAAATTCAGAAATTTTTTTTTTTTTAATCAAAAATCATTTCTTTTGACTCCTTACATGGTAAAAATAAGTCCCACAAATTTTTAGGTCAAAAAAAAATTTTTTGTTAAAGTTATAAACAATTGAAATTTTTTGCAGTCTTATTTTAAAAAATTTTTTTCACCCATTAAAAAAAAGGGTTTTTCTCGTCTTAAAATGTAGTTTCTAAATACAATTTTTATTTTGAAAAAATTTCATATTTAATAGATTTTTATATTATTTATTTATAAAATGTTATTAAAAAATAGTGTTCTTGACGTCCTACAGAAAATTAAAATTTTTTTTTTTTTGAATTCCCCACACAATTTTGTGTAAGAAACCGTTGAGAAAAAAAATGAGACTAAAAAAAAAAATTTCTGAATTTTAGGTGATCCGTTTGAGAAATTCTGACCCATCTCCGATTTTTTGAGAATTTTTTTTTCTTTTAGTACTAATTGAGACTGGCATTTATCAATTCTTTCAAATTTTTTCAGCAAGCCGTTTTCGAGATATGGAATTTTGAAAATTGGAGAATTTTCATGACTTTTAATTTTTGAATGCTCATAACTTCCTTAAATATGCATTAATTTTAAAAGTCTTTTATTTTCAAAATTTGTGTTTTTAAACGTACTTTTCAACAAAAAAAAAAGAAAATTTTTTTTGTAAACGATATTACTATCAAATTTTTGAGTTTTAATGATAAAAAAGTCATTTTTCTCATTTCACGTACTGATCGATTTTTTTCAAAAATTTTTCAAAAAAACTACTTCTTATTATGAAACTTTTAAGCCTATCCCGATAATGGGCAAACAATTTTTACAACATTTTCGGAATTTTTCAAAAATTTTTGAATTTAGAATTTTTTAAAAATATTTTTGGTTTTTTTTATACTACGTACTTTTATGTATTTTGATGCGCATGATTACGAAAATCATAAAAAAGTCCCAAAATTTATGGTTTTTTTCCGTTTATTGGGTAAAATATGCAAAATTAAAAAAAAAACTTTGAAACAAAAGTTATAGATCTTATTAAAATACATTTTTTTTAATTTTCCATATTTTATCCAATAAACGAAAAAAACCATAAACAGGGTGGCCACTATTTTTAGAATTTTTGCCTCACGGTTTTCTTCCGGTTTTTCCGGTAGAAATTAGAGATTTCTCCCGGTTTTAAAATACATTTTTTCTGTACATAAATCTATTATATTTATGTAATATGCAATTGTAAAAAATAATGAACACCAAAAGCACTCTATGAAAATTTATAAAATTTAAGTTATTTAAAGTACATTGAAATAAAATATAACAAATTTTATTAAATATAGTAGACATTTTTCAATTTAGAGAAAACGTGTAAAAATGGGAAATATTGATACAAAAAATAATATACTTCTGAAAATATTTTTCAGTCTTTTCAAAATATTTATTATTTTTCGAGATATTTGCATTACAAAATTAGTGCACCTTTTTTTTCAATTACTCATTACTTTTTTACTTTTAGTCCTAGAAAAAAGTTTAAGAAAAAAAATTAATTTTGAAAAATTAAAATTTTTTTATTTATTTATTTATTTAAAAAAATTGTTTTTAATTTTTAAACTTATTATCGGGCTCCGTTTACTTAGCGGGGGTTTCCTACCTTCAGGGCACGATATTTTTCAGTATTTCTCTAAATAACATTTTATAATTAACTTTCGATTTTTACATTGAAAAAATAATAGTATTGAATCAAGAAAACCTATGTACTTGCGACCGTATTTTATACCAATATTTTCTTGATCCAAGAAAATTTACTTCAAACTAATAAAAATTTCTTGGATCAAGAAAATATTGGTATAAAATACGATCAAGTACATAGGTTTTCTTGATTCAATACTATTTTTTTTCAGTGTAGTAATACTTAATATTCTTTTTTTGACACAGAATTAGATTAGACGTAGTATAGAAGAAATCTGAGGATAGACCTTCAATCTCACGTGGAATTGCTTATATTTTTTACATAATTAACACGAAATTTTAGATGGTTAAAAGTTGAACAATTTTCGAATAATTGCGTGAATCACAAAACCGATAAAATTTCCCGGTTTAATTTTTCAGTCCCGGCTTTCTCCCGGTTTTCTCCCGATTCAAATTTCTTCTAGTTTTCTCGCGGTTGGCTGGCCACCCTGAATTAAATTTTGGGACTTTTTTTATGATTTTCAACATAAAAATAAAAAATTTGATAGTAATATCGTTTAAGGCCATCCGGGAAAAATCCCTAACCTAAAAGTGTTTTCCCGCGCGAGATATTACTCGTAAATAACTTGAAATATCTTGATCGGATTTGTCGGATTAATTAGATGAGGTCGAGCTGATTAAGAATCATCTCCATTTTTAAAAGTAACTTTGTAAAAAAGTATTGAAAATCGTGGTTATAAAAGCTGGATTTTTGACAGAAGTGGGGACAGTAGGGAAGGCGAGCACACAGACATTGAATCTATGTGTCAGTGGCCTAGAAGGTGGCGCCAATTCTAGCTAGTGGCCGCTGCTGAACTAACTTACCCCAAATTACTCCACTTCAAATCTTTAATAAAATAATTTCCTCACAATATTATTGCAAAATTGGAGAAGAGCCCCACTCAGTGACCCTTCCTCTATTATTCCTCCAAATGCCAACTCGAAATACTTTATCCTTTAAAGATGAGAAGAAATTTACGAAACCCCTTTTTGCCAATGTTTAAACATTTTTTTAAATAATTATTTATCAAGATTATGCAAAATTCCGAGAAGAGCCCCTGGCAGGGTACCTTCCTCTATTATTTCCAAAAAATTACAACCTAAAATATTCTATTTTTTTCAAATGAGAAGAAATCTACAAAACCATTATTTTCTCCCGGATGCCTTTAAAAAAAATTTTCGATTTTTTTTTTTGAAAAGTACGTTTAAAAACACAAATTTTGAAAAAAAAAGACTTTGAAAATTGATGCATTTTTAAGGAAGTTATGAGCATTCAAAAATTAAAAGTCATGGAAATTCTCCAATTTTCAAAATTCCATATCTCGAAAACGGCTTGCTGAAAAAATTTGAAAAAAATTTATGGATGCTATTCTCAATTAGTAATTAGTAATTAGTAATTAGATGGACTTACACTTTGGCGTGGAATACATCCTTTTGTTTAAATTTATTGATATTTGTTCAATATAAATTAATTATTCAGGGTTGCAAAAAAAAATACATTTTCCAATTTTCCTAACATTACAAAATTTTATTAAATTTTTATGAATTACAATAGAAATCTAATAATTTAAGTTAGAAAATCGCATTTCCTTGAAAACAGGGTTCACAGTATCCTTTTTCTTGAAAATAAATAAAAAAGTTAATTATTTATCAAAATATTTTTAAATAGATTGAAATTTCGTTAATTTTAAGTTTCGATCAATTGAATTTGCATTTGATTAAAATTTTAATTAATAAATCTGCAAATCAGTTTAACAACGAGCATTGATTTTTTTTTTTGTAATTCACTCACAACTTTCATTAGAAATTTGCCCATATTGATTTTCAACGACATTAATAACAAAGCAGCCAATTAATATAAACCGCATATAATGTATCTTTATAGTACTCTGTACGAATAGGCTTTGCCCGTATATTTCCAATAAATAAATAAATTTGTCTTGACTGAAAAAAAAATTAGAATTGATTGAAAGTTGAATAACTTGAAATTTAAATTTAGATTGACCTGAAATTTGGTTGAATTAAAATTTGAATCGAATAAAATTTTATTAAATTAATATTTGAACATATTTACAATTTGAATAAATTGAATTTTGGACTAACTTTATAGATGGTTGATTACAATTAGAATGAATTTAAATTTAGGTCGATTTCAATTTTAATCAATAAATGCTATACAACAAATTTAAATTGAAATTTATTCTAATTTGATCTAAATAATTTTTAAATTGATGGAAATTTTTGATAAATTCAAGCTTGGATCAATTGAATAATTTATAGAAAATATGAAAATCTGTAATTTTGTGTTCTCTAAGTTAATATAAAATCAGGAATGTTAAAAACAAAATTCTTTTTGAACTAAATAAATTATTTTTCAACATTCCTGAACTTAAATAAATTTTTTTACATTGTAAATTTAATTTTTTTTTCAATTTTTACATTTGCAAATTAATCAAATCATGAAATAGAAATAAATGACAAAATTTTAAACAGTTGAAAAAAGGTAAAAAAAATAACCTAAGTTCCCTTCAAGAGGAAAAAATTATTATTATTATAAATATTACTAAGTATTAAGTACTTTCAATTTATTTTGATACTAAAAGTTTTTATTTTTCTAGCGAAATATAATTTTTTTATTCAAAATTTAATAAATTTGTTTTTCATAATAAATTGCAAATAGTTTTTTAAAATGAATTTAATTGTATGAAATGAATTTTAAATTGATAATGAGACAGGTAACTTCAATTTTATAAAATTTGTATCAACTTGTATTTTAATTTTTAAATTCGTTAATTAAGGGCATCCGGGAGAAAATAATGGTTTTGTAGATTTCTTCTCATTTGAAAAAAATAGAAAATTTTAGGTTGTAATTTTTTGGAAATAATAGAGGAAGGTACCCTGCCAGGGGCTCTTCTCGGAATTTTGCATAATCTTGATAAATAATTATTGAAAAAAATGTTTAAACATTGGCAAAAAGGGGTTTCGTTAATTACTTCTCATCTTTAAAGGATAAAGTATTTCGAGTTGGCATTTGGAGGAATAATAGAGGAAGGGTCACTGAGTGGGGCTCTTCTCCATTTTTGGAATAATATTGTGAGGAAATTATTTTATTAAAGATTTAAAGTGGAGTAATTTGTGGTAAGTTAGTTCAGCAGCGGCCACTAGCTAGAATTGGCGCCACCTTCTGGGCCACTGACACATAGATTCAATGTCTGTGTGCTCGCCTCCCCTACTGTCCCCACTTCTGTCAAAAATCCAACTTTTATAATCACGATTTTCAATACTTTTCAACAAAGTTACTTGTAAAAATGGAGATGATTCTTAATCAGCTCGCCCTCATCTAATTAATCCGACAAATCCGAACAAGATATTTCAAGTTATTTACGAGTAATATCTCGCGCGGGAAAACACTTTTAGGTTAGGGATTTTTCCCGGATGGCCTTAAAACAGATTTTTCATATTTTTTAAAAAATTCAGTTATAAAATTTATTTTTTTTTCTTTGTAATTCAACTTAAGAATTTAAAATTTGAAAGTAAAGACAAATTTTATAAAATAATTGCTAAAAATTTTCAAGAGAAAAAATTGTTTCGAATATCAAAAATAATTTCTGGGAATTATTAGATTTTTCTAAAACTAGACTGCAATGATTTTGAATAAAATATAATAGATTGACATTTAATTTTTTTTTTTTTTTGTTTCTCTTTTAGGGAGGTGGAAAAGCAAGTGCTTCCTTACACGTGGCAAGAACAATTTGTAAGCGAGCCGAAAGGAAGGTAAATGAATTAGTGAAAGATGGAATTTTAGACAAGGAAGCTCAAGTTTATCTAACTCGATTAACCGATTTTCTTCTCACTGCATCTCGAATGGCTGCGAAATGTGACGAGCGCACAGAAACAATTTATATTCCAAGAGCAGAGGTTCAAGAAGAAAAATAAACTACATTTCAAATAAGATGAACAAACTCTAAGAAAAAAAAAAAATGTAGAAATTATATTAAGAAATATCAACGAAATAGTTAATTTTGCTTAAATACTAGACATTTTTTTTCTACTTTACAAATGCTCCAGAATTTAACGGTACAAGTTGAACTTTGTAGATAATTACCACAATGCATCTATTGATAATGGAATAAATAATTTCGTTTCCGTTTAGAAACAAGAGTCATTATATGTTAAATAATTCAGTTTTGTAATACTCCAAGTTTTATATTACCAACGTTATTTTCAATTTCGAAAGGTATGATTTTTTTTTTAAGTTTTATGATAAATTAATTCTGATGTCATAGATATTACTGAGAAATAGTACAATTTAGGATTGTACATAGTCATTGAAGAGAACTCGGTTATTTATCTTGTTATGTATTAGTATGTACATGATATTTATTAAATAAAATCAAGAAATTTGTCAACATTTCATCAATTTCTTTATAACAATGAAAATATTTGTAAATATCAAGAATGTAATAATAGTATCGTTATAACGATTAATAACAATTTTACAGATGCAGTTTTTTTTTGAGTTGTTAAATATAAATTAGCGCGTATAAAATAAAAAAACACGTGTCTAATTAGAAAAAACAAACAACTTATTCCAATATTTCCTCGCCTTCGGTTATTTCTTTTAGATTTAATAATTCCAATGTACCAGTGCCTTTAGTTTCTGAACGGATCAATTCATCGATTTGTCGATATTGTCCTGGATCAATTAGACAAATTAAATTAACCGAACCATCATCCCAATCTTCCTTTTCCGTGCTTGTTACTATTTTTATTATTTTATCTTTAACTTTTTTCGCCTCTTTTCCAGTGATAAATACCCTTAATCTCATTTGTGCTCTTTCCAATGGCATTACTGTTTTTAATTGTGGAATAACATCGAGGGCTTGTTGTTTTGCATTTCTATTTGGTTTCACTGAAAAATGAACATCCTTCATTGCTTTCTCAATCATAGAAACGGAATATGGCCTTTTTGTTTCGGGATTTACACATTTATCAGCGACAGTTGTGGCAATATCTTTAAACATTGTTTCAAGTGTCAAATGTCGTTCTTTGTCTGATACTTGTAATTCTCCCTTTTCCAAAATTTCTTTACATATTTCCGTTTGATCATCTTTCCCAAAACATTTTACAAGATCCTCTTTTTTTGCCACTTGACCTTTCGATACGTTTGTAAACACAGTGTGCGCTTGAAGTACTTCGTCTATATCTTTTTCTCTGAAATAAAAAAACAAAAAAAAAAATTATGAAATTTTAGAAATACATAAAAAAAATGAAGATTTTTGAAATAGAATTAAGAAAACACGAGAATTTGGGAAATGAAAACAAAATAGAAAAATTAAAGAAATACAATGTTGAAGAAAAGAAAAATTACCAAAATAAAAAAGAGATTTCGCGGTAAATATTCATTTAAAATTATAAACGGATGTTAAACCTTCTATAAAGTAAAAAAAAAATTTTTAAATAAATAATTTTTTTACAACAGTTTGTAAAAGTAAATAAATTTAAGAAACTTTCAAAAAATTAATAAAAAATTAAAAAAGCCAAAAAAATTAGAAAATAAAAAAAAATGGAAAGTCGTAGAAAAGAAGAAATTGAATAAAAAAAAAATCAAAAGCCAAAAATTTTAAACGTTCAAATGAACGAAATTTTTTTTAGCAACTCCTTTAAATAGGAATTTTATTACAAAATATAGTTCTAAATATCTAAAAACAAGTTTTTTTATTTCTATTATTTAATTTACTGTTTTGTTTTACATTGACATTTTAATTTTTAATTATATTTATAAATTGAAAAAAATATTTCGTTCATTTGAACGTTCAAAACTTTTGGCTCATAAAAAAACAGAGAATTTGAGGGAAAAAAAAAGAATTTTCTCTTCTTTGTAAATATAAATAAATTTTAAAAATTATCCAATTTTCAAAAAAGGAGAATTTTGGTAGAAAAAAAGAAATTGTATAGTTAAAAATTTGTATATGATGTATTTTACGCCAAAATGTAAGCATCAATTTTATGTTTTTTTTTCAAAATGTGTTTTTAAACGTATTTTTCAAAAAAAAAATCGAAATTTTTTTTTAAACGATATTACTATTACTATATTTACTATATTTAAGCCTAGCCCGATGATAGGCTAACAATTTTTAAAATATTTTCGGAATTTTTCAAAAAATTTTGAATTTTTTAAAAATATTTATGGTTTTTTTTTATACTACGTACTTTTATGTATTTTGATGCGCAGATTACGAAAATCATAGTGACAATACCCAAAAATTTTATTTTTATGGTGAAAGTCATAAAAAAGTTCCAAAATTTAATTCAGGGTGGCCAGCCAACCGGGAGAACCGGGAGAAAACTAGAAGAAATTTGAATCGGGAGAAAACCGGGAGAAAGCCGGGACTGAAAAATTAAACCGGGAAATTTTATCGGTTTTGTGATTCACGCAATTATTCGAAAATTGTTCAACTTTTAACCATCTAAAATTTCGTGTTAATTATGTAAAAAATATAAGCAATTCCACGTGAGATTAAAGGGTCTATATCCTCAGATTTCTTCAATACTACGTCTAATCTAATTCTGTGTCAAAAAAAGAATATTAAGTATTATTACACTGAAAAAAATAGTATTGAATCAAGAAAACCTATGTACTTGATCGTATTTTATACCAATATTTTCTTGATCCAAGAAATTTTTATTAGTTTGAAGTAATTTTTCTTGGATCAAGAAAATATTGGTATAAAATACGGTCGCAAGTACATAGGTTTTCTTGATTCAATACTATTATTTTTTCAATGTAAAAATCGAAAATTAATTATAAAATGTTATTTAGAGAAATACTGAAAAATATCGTGCCCTGAAGGTAGGAAACCCCCGCTAAGTAAACGGAGCCCGATAATAAGTTTAAAAATTAAAAACAATTTTTTTAAATAAATAAATAAATAAAAAAATTTTAATTTTTCAAAATTAATTTTTTTTCTTAAACTTCAATATTTTCTGAGCAAAAAACGTTTAGGAAACTTTTTTCTAGGACTAAAAGTGAAAAAGTAATGAGTAATTGAAAAAAAAGGTGCACTAATTTTTTAATGCAAATATCTCGAAAAATAATAAATATTTTGAAAAGACTGAAAAATATTTTCAGAAGTATATTATTTTTTGTATCAATATTTCACATTTTTACACGTTTTCTCTAAATTGAAAAATGTCTACTATATTTAATAAAATTTGTTATATTTTATTTCAATGTACTTTAAATAACTTAAACTTTATAAATTTTCATAGAGTGTTTTTGGTGTTAATTATTTTTTACAATTGCATATTACATAAATATAATAGATTTATGTACAGAAAAAATGTATTTTAAAACCGAGAAAAATCTCTAATTTCAACCGGAAAAACCGGGAGAAAACCGTGAGGCAAAAATTCTAAAAATATTGGCCACCCTGTTTATGGTTTTTTTCGTTTATTGGATAAAATATGGAAAATTAAAAAAAATGTATAAGATATAAAAAGTGTATTTTAATAAGATCTATAACTTTTGTTTGAAAGTTTTTTTTTTAATTTTGCATATTTTACCCAATAAACGAAAAAAACCATAAATTTTGGGACTTTTTTTTATGATTTTCATCATAAAAATCAAATTATTGGGTATTGTCACTATGATTTTCGTAATCAGCGCATCAAAATACATAAAAGTACGTAGTATAAAAAAAACCAAAAATATTTTTAAAAAATTCTAAATTCTAAAATTTTTGAAAAATTCCGAAAATGTTGTAAAAATTGTTTGCCCATTATCGGGCTAGGCTTAAAAGTTTCATAATAAGAAGTAGTTTTTTTGAAAAATTTTTGAAAAAAATCGATCAGTACGTGAAATGAGAAAAATGACTTTTTATCATTAAAACTCAAAAATTTGATAGTAATATCGTTTACAAAAAAATTTTCGTTTTTTTTTGTTAAAAAGTACGTTTAAAAACACACATTTAGAAAAAAAAGACTTTTAAAATTGATGCATTTTTAAGGAAGTTATGAGCATTCAATAATTAAAAGTCATGGAAATTCTCCAATTTTCAAAATTCCATATCCCCAAAACGGCTTGCTGAAAAAATTTGAAAAAATTTATAGATGCTAGTCTCAATTAGTACTAAAAGAAAAAAAAATCTCAAAAAAATCGGAGATGCAATTGCAGATGGACTTACACTTTGGCGTGGAATACATCATATTAATAAAATTTCAGGTTTAACGAAAAATTTTTGACTAAACCTCGTTTTTTTCCCCAATTAATTAAATTCACGATTACTAAATACCCTACAAGTTTTGTCAATCATAATTTCATATGTCTTAAATATTATTATTTTGTTTATGAAATATTTCGTAAAATTTAGTTCACCTTGCATAACAAAAATATGAAATTGCAAAATTGTCTTAACTCAAAATTAAAGAAATTAATATCATAAATTTAAATGTTATTTAAGTTGAAATAAAAAAAAAAGTAAAACGCGCACTTTTTATGAATTAATAATAAAGAAATGAAATTCGATATTTATTTACTTACAGCTTATTTCTCCAAGACATAACCTTATTTCTGTAGCAAGCAATTTCAAAACGTTTACCACCTTTTTTCATTCGAACCACAACAACATTGGTCAGTCTTATTTGATTAATAGGTGTAAATAACATACCCGATCTTGGCATTTTCACGTTTTATTAAACAACACTATACTTTTTAAAATAAATAAAATAAAAATAATTTGCCATATACAATCGAACGTGTGTCCTTTGACAGCTTTTCAAGCACATCGAATTTCCCTTGTGTCTGCGCGCATATGTAGTTGGAAAAATATTCTCTACCAATCAAAATATATTTCTTACAATTAGCATTAAAGAAAATTTCTGATTGGTTAAAGCTTAACTTTAAAATTTTTAAATTACAAATTTACTCTTTTTTTTCTAATTTCTTTGTAAGAGGAAAAAGTATTTTGAAATTTTTTAAAATGAAAATTTATAATAATTATGACTATAAAAATCATAATTATAATATAATAGATAAACATATAAAGAGAAATAAATTTTGTAGTTTCTTTAAAAAATTTTATTTATGGCGGGAGTGATAGATGTGGCGCAAGCGCAATTTGTTTTGGAGCCGAATGAATCCAACATGGCTGCCGTGAGCGTGATGCCGTTTGACGTAAATGAAAAATAATGTCTTTTTCCCGGTTTTGACAGACGTTTTATTGATACGCGAGTGTTTAGTGATAGTGAGTGTTTTTCGTCAACTTTTTATGTGATATAATGGCTTTAGTCACTGTTCAACGTTCTCCAAGTGTCTCGAGTTCTCCTCAGAGTTCGGTAAGTTTTTTTTTTGTTTCCATTTCGATACGCACCCAGAATCCCAGATACATACAAGTGGATTAATCATATATATATATATATATATATATACATTCTGTCAATGATCCCAATTGTCTCTTTTTTTCTCAAAAAAAAAACATTATTTTAAATATAAGATAGTTTTGTTCTCACATTTTATTACAATAGCATTTCACTCGGCGTGATGAATGATTTCGATCAAAATTGCGCGAATCTCTTTTATTAGTTTCCTTATTTGGCCGGGTAATGTTTGACGTTTGCACGAGAAATGAGAATCACGATTTCTGTATGTATATTATATATCTGTTCATCTTCTCGTGAGACTTTAATTGTAGATTATTTTTATGGTATGAAAAGAACTCGATTCCGCATTGATGCTTGCGAAATTGATTGTAGAAATATGAGATGTGATTTTTTTTTTTCTCAAAAAAAGGTACCGTACAAATTTTTTGTTTTATATCAAATATTGTTAAAATTTTCATAATTTTATTTTGGTTTTTGTTTATGTGATTTTATTATTTATTCACTTAATTTAATATTATACAATCTTGAAAATGTTTTTTGAGGTTATGTTTGTAGACAAATATTCTCTTTGTTGTGTATATATTTTTAATTGAAAGGATTAGAGGTTTAGATATTCGTGTTAATTTATTTGTTACATATGAATAGACGCACAGCTGTCATTAGTCACGTGTCTACTGACGTGTTAATGAACTAAGAATATAAGTACATTTTAAGGTATTACTCACGTAGATTTTTTTTCGACAGATTTTTTTAAAAGTTTGCCTGGTTATTCCTTAGGTATTTATCTACAAAGCAATACAAAAAAAAATAAAATTGACCGTTTCTAAGTCCCAAAAAATGAAATCAAAGTTTCAATCTTTTACATGTACGGGATACGAAAACCATGTATTCATTACAGGTTTCAATTTTTTGCATCATTACTACTCGACAGATTTAGAAAAAAAACTAACACAATATTTATGGTGGAAAAATGAACTTATATAAAAAAAATGAGAATTTTTTACCGTTTTGTTCAAAAAATATTTAATTTCAAAGATGAAAAATTAATAAAATTTTTGCTGTCTTTGAAGGATAAATGAGTATATGTGGCAACAGCGCTTGTTGAACGATACATGTGATCTGCTGATTTAGGCGCGAAATTTGAATTAAATCCTGTTTCTTTGTCTTACTTTTCAATAGTCACAACTTCTTATTAAATATATAATAATATAAAATATCATAAACAAAAGTTATTATAAAAATTTTGTTGTTTAAGCCATATATTCTAATGTTTAAAAAAACAAAATCAATTTTCTATTTTTTATCTAAACATCTCGATGGTATTTTCATGTTTATATATTTTGTTATTAATATTATACATTCTCACGTTTATGTATAATTTTTCAATACAATTGGAAGTTGCTTTTTTTTACAAAATGTAATAAAATGGTTTATAGATTTTTTAATCTCTTGAAAATGATGATGAAAATTAAAATAGAAAAGTTTTTAAAAAAATGTTTTTCCTATCTTTGATTATATGGCCTAAACTTTGAATTATTTTTTATATAAAAATTTCATAAACTTATAATTTAACAAATAAAATTGGTTTTTAAGATTTAACTTATAAATTATCTAAAAAAAAAGATTTAAAAATATATAAAACTATGAGGATAATTTGATAAAAATTACAAATATTTTAAAATATAATTCATTTTTATTTATTCTTAAATTAATAATTTTACACTTTACATATTAAATTGTTTATAAACACTTTCAACGGAAACAATAATATATTATATATATTATTCTTACACATTTGCACATCTTTAATTTGGTTATAATATATAAAAATACTGTTTTGTTCATAGAATTTGAACATTTTCAACAAAAATAAATTATATAATTTTGTATTCAAGTTTTATTGAATGTTTTTCATTTTTGCAAACAACTTACATAATAAAATTAACATTGGCTTTCATTTGCAATGATTTTTGAAAAAATCTGTAATTTTTTCAAGAATATTTTTGTGTTTAGTGACCAATGCCTTCTTTTGGTCATTCAATGCAGTCAACAATTGTACCAAACCTACACTTCCTGCATTTTTATATGTTGTTTCAAGTTTTTCAAAATCTAGACCTGCATTAGCTATTTTTTGAATAATTGTTCTAGAAACAATTCCTGTTAAACTCTTTAAAGACTGTAGAATAGCTTTTTTGTCAGCAACCGCTGGAATGTCAAAGCCACAATTCGATTTATATTTGATTCCTTCGTTTCTTTCTTTTTGTTGTCGTTGATTTTCTTTTTCTTTGATTAATAAATTTCTTTTTGCTTTTGTTTCTGGTAATTTTTGTCTGATCCTCCTTGCCAATCGAATTCTATCTTTTTTTTCTGCAAACGCTTTTGTATGCTTACCAGGAGAAAGATTTAATGTTTCTTGGACATTCAACAAATGTGTTTCTCCAATATTTTTGGAGCATACAGTACTCGCAAAACGATAATCCGCAGATTCACTTAGACTATGACATTGATTTTTCGCAGCTTTATGGGCCATAATATTATTAACACTTTCATTTGCTTGACTTGAAGCAGCAATGGAAAATTTTTCTGCACTATCCGCATATTTTTTGAAAAGTTGTTTCAATTCTTTCTTGAGAGTTTTATCAGTCAGTAAAACTGTCTGTGATTTTGTAGCATTATTTAATTTTCTGCTACACCAATCTCCACAGTTTCCGTGATTTCCAAACAAATGCTCTGGTATTCCGAGTAACGCTGCTGACACTCCATCAGGATCTCCTTCGTTTTGTGCAACTGCGTAACAAAAGCACTTTTTAATGTGTTGGATAACACCTTTTTTTCTCAATTCCTTAAAATCGGTTTGTAATGCGTATAACTCTTTACCAACATTTTTGCGTAAATGATTTTGATCAGCGAGTTTGTAAATCGTTTCCTCATTCCCTTTACGAATGTTCGCAATTGTTGAGCTGTCCTCGTCACCAATCACAACTCTGACTTTAACACCAGTTTCTTTTAAAATTGAACTATTGTTTACTAACTCAGCTCCCAAATCAGATTCCATCGCCTTGGCACTCCCGTCGAAATTTTGACGGCAATCGTGATCCTCTTTCTGTCGTCCTATTGCGCAAAGCTTACATTTGCGATTTCTCGTCCCGAAATCTAGTATTTTCCCGCTTAAAAATCCTATTATACAACCGTATCCATTTAAACTATTATAACTTCTTCCGTTTCCGCGTTTACTCCATCCCATATCATATGATATTATGATATTGACAATATTTCCCAAAGCCGAGTCAAATTCTTCTGGTGTGTTTTTCAAAATCTCTTTGAACGGATAAATATCTTTCGCAATATCAAGTGGACTGAAAAAAAAATTCAAATACAAATTTTACATATTAAGAAAGAAAATGAAAAGATTTAAAAATTTAATTCAAAATGTTTATTGTTTGTTACATTTTATCTTAAATGTAAATGCCTTAAAATATGGACATTAACATTCAAATAATGTTACATTATTTAATTTTATAAGATTACGGAATTCTATAAACGTGTTACACATTTCAAGCTAAAATTTCTTAAATTTTATACAATTAAATTTAGTATAAATCAATACTTAAATCAATTTATGGTATATGAATATGCAGTCAGATCATTAGTCGAAAGTTTTGAACGTTCATATGAACAAATTTTTTTTTCAAACTATAAATTATTAAAAATTATGATGACCATGTAAAATAAAACAGTAAATTAAATAATTATTAAATTAATAACTTCTTTTTAGATATTTTGAACAATATTTTGTATTAAAATTCGTACTTAAAGAAGTTGCAAAAAAAATTTCGTTCATATGAACGTTCAAAACTTTTGGCTTATGTCAGATCTTATAAAATATTCTGAAAACATTTAATATAATTTGGACACTTAGAAATATGCGTATATTATATGTATAAATATGTGTATACTTAAAAAATTTTGATTTTATACAATTCAATATTGTAGAAATGATAACATAAATTAATTCGTAATATATAAATATACATATTGTAGATCAAATGAAGAATTATAAAAGCATTCAATTCTATTTAATATTTTATAAGTGTATTATATGTTTATAATATACTAGTAAATTATATTTTGTTTTAAATTAAATAATAAACTTAAGAACTAAAAAAAACCTTACAGATCCTCACACAGCTGGTCGACATTGTTTATTACCAATTGGCGTTCTTCCGTAGCGGCTTGTTTACAACTGTCTTTTGCAATTTTTTCCAGTGCAGGCCCAACTTCCCTTTCATATCTTTTATACAAGTTTGTTGATATTGAAGGAATATTTAAACACGCTAGCACCTTATTTAGCGCCGTGTTTCCGATTCCTGAATGTACAGCTCCTGCATATTTAAAAAGTGAGGTTAGGTTAAGATTAAGATGATAAAGTAATTCACAAACCAGCAAATCTTACCTAAAACTGCTTTTGTATTCACGTCAGAGTGAGAGTGTGATTCCAGGGTTTTGTGGAATTTTCCAGTTGGAACTGATGTTTCTGTCAAACATTTTTGACAGCGGATGGTTAGAACTGAGTTTAGTCCAAAACACTTTTCACTTTGAATATCATTCAGGAAAATTGCTTCCTTGCACTTTATACACTTTAAATTTTTTGCTATGACGTCCAATTCAACAATTCGTCGACCAGGACAAATTTCTGTCACTTTATTTACGTCTACGTCTTTGACATTATTTAATTCATCGCAAAGTTGTTTTCCCCGAGTCATTTGGGCAAGAAAACTCGTCTTCTTGGTAAGAACGCTTTGTTTAATAAATTTGCCTTTGTATCTCAATTGTTTTTCCATCTTTTAAATTTTGATATTACATCTACACGCACTTTAAAACAAAAACTTTTATCTTTCACTGCGAAAAAATCTTTTAACAGAAGACGCCATTTGCAATCAAAAACTTGCGACGTTGCCATGATCGCTTTTCTAGACCGTGATATGTGTGTGTCTGTGTATATGAACTGAGATGCTTAATGTGTGAAACTGTACCTGCGCAAAAGTTTTATTTGAAACTCGCATGTTTTACTGTTTCCTAAGTACAGTGACTAGAAAAAACTTTTGAATGTTACCAGTCGTGTGAGTAATACCTTAAACAAAGTAAGTAAAAATAAGGGATTAGATCAAATATGAATTAGTTTCAATTAATTTTAGAATAAATTATTTTCTTTTCTATTCAAGAAATTTGTTATTATTATAATTATATTATGAATTTAATATTATAAATTAATAAATTTTGCCTCAACGCAATAGTTATATTATTTATTATATTTTCTACAATTTGAAAAATTATTTTTTAAATTTAAAATTGAGGTTAATATAAAAATTATAATTTTGTATTATAATATTAATTTAAATAATTATAATTTCATTATCATAATCTATTGTAACAATTTTTTTTTAAATAATTTTATTATTTACAAAATATTCTAATGAAACATTGATAGTAAAAATATTTGAAAATAGATAAATTTAATTTTGTAAAAAAGAGTTTTATTTCTATTTATGAAAAATTTATAAAAATGTTGTTACATGACAATTTGATTATTTAATTTTATATAGAGATATATTTATAGGTCATTGAATAAATATCATTGAATTGAATTTCACTGTATTTATTATATTAATTAGGATTAATTAGTTTTGATGTGTGAATTTACATAACGGCGCCTTTGGGGGCGTCGCGACGCTGTGTTTAAAACGAGCAATTCTCGAACATGGTGGCCCGAATGTAGCCGATTAAATAGTGTACGATGAAAAATAACCCCTTCAAAGTTTTCGTCTTCAGTTTGCTAGTCGCGCTTACCAACGATGGTAGGCCGTTGGCTATTAAACTCTTTTTAAATATATTTCAGTAAAAATAATACTATTTTCGCAGTTTTTTTTTTTTTTTTTTGTAATTTAGTGTAAAAAATTAAATTAATCATTTTAAATATAGCTTCTCGCAAATTTATTATAATTAACATTTAATAGATTTTTAATTCAGTCAAATTGAAAATGAGTGTATAATAACAGATTTTAATGATTTAATTAAATTAGAAATTTATTATAACAGTTTCTAATGAAGGTGTTAAATTGAAAATTAATTAAAATGACAAGTGAAATAAAGAATTAATTTATAAATAATGTAGTAAATTAAAAAGTAAGTTAAATAATAATAATAAATTTATGGAAAATTTTTTTGCAATAAACTTATTTCAAATTATTAAAAAATGGACAATAGTTTCAATTCAATGAAATTCTTTTTTTTTATATTAAGTAAATGCTTTTCTTTTTTTTCTTTTTAAAGTTCCAAATTGAAGTGAGTGACTGTTTACAAATTAAGGAATTCCCATATGTGAATTGGCAGTGAATTTAATCAATCTAGAATTTGCATGGGAAAAATCAATATTTCTTACTTTGTGTCGTCGAGTTTTATGTTAAGTTGTGCGATATGATTTTATTAAAACAAAAAAATGCCATTCTTTATGTTTTGCCCCCACCTTCAGCTCCAAAACCACCGTCACCATGGACAAGTATTCTTTGGGGAGATGATCGGCGACCTCGTACCCGAGTCGCTCGGGGAACTCGCGTGATGCAGTTGCGTAACAAAGTGATTGCTAAAGTAAGGCCTGTTAATATATATCTATATATTTCTTTTTTAAAAAAACTAATTAATTTTTCGTTCTGCTAAAAATTATGTATGTCGTGCATTTGAAATTCTTCTGAAAATATAACCAGTTTAATGATTTGTTAAATTTTACAGTGACGTAACACTTTTTCGATTCAATTTGTGTTTTTTTTTTATAATTAAATAATTTTTAAAAAATTTTTATTTACGTATAATAATTTGAAAAATTTATTCTTTTCAATTAAATTTCTATATACTTAAAGAAAATGTCGATGAAATTCACAATGTTTTATAGAAGAAATACAGGCCTCGAATTATATGACTTTTTCGACTATTTCCAATTTTTTTTTCAAAAATACGACTTTTTTCGACTTATTTTAATAAAATGCGACTATTACGACTTTTTTTTTAACCTTTTTAAAAAATTTTTTTAAAAAAAAAAATATTTTTTTTTAGTATAAAATGCAGATCTTCTTCAGATGTTGGTGAAGTTTGCAACGTTTATGATCAAAGATTGAAAAAAAAAAATATTTTTCACTCAAAAAATATAATAACTAATTTTTTGCCTACAATTTTTTTTTTCAAAAAATTAATCATCAAGAAATGTTGCAAAAAAAATTTTTGGATAAATAAATAGATAATTTGCATAGAAAAATATTTTCTCTTCTCAATCGTTGATCATAAATTTTGTGAACTTCACCGACGTTTCTTCAGTTCTTCTTTATTTCAATTATTTAACAAATTTTTAACAAAAATTCTTCAATAAATTAATTATTTTTAAGAATTTTTAAGAAATTCATCATAAATTCAATTATTTCAAAATTATTTTTCAATTAAAATTTTTATAAAATTTAACAATTGTTTATAATTTAAAAAAAAAATATCAAATAAAATTACCAAAAATTTTTAATTCAAAATCAAATAAAATTCAATTATTTTGAAAACTTACAATTCAAAATCTTTTAAAATTTAATTATTTTCCAAATTTTTAATTTAAAATCAAATAAAATTCAATTATTACCCGAAATTTCAATTCAAAATCAATTAAAATTCAATTAGTTCCCAAAATTTCAATTCAAAATCAAAGAAAATTGAATTATTTTCAAAATTTTCAATTCAAAGTAAATTAAAATTCAATTATTTTCCAAATTTTCAATTTAAAATCAATTAAAATTCAATTATTTTCCAAATTTGCAATTTAAAATCAATTAAAATTCAATTATTTTCCAAATTTTCAATTTAAAATGAAATAAAATTCAATTATTACCCAAAATTTCAATTCAAAATCAATTGAAATTCAATTTCAAAATATGTATAAATAAATAAATTAGTTCCCATAATTTCAATTCAAAATTAAAGAAAATTGAATTATTTTAAAAATTTTCAATTCAAAATCAATTAAAATTCAATTATTTTCCAAATTTTCAATTTAAAATCAATTAAAATTCAATTATTTTAAAAATTTTCAATTTATAATCAATTAAAATTCAATTATTTTCCAAATTTTCAATTTAAAATCAAATAAAATTTAATTATTACCCAAAATTTCAATTCAAAATCAAAGAAAATTGAATTATTACACGAAATTTCAATTCAAAATCAATTAAAATTCAATTAGTTCCCAAAATTTCAATTCAAAATCAAAGAAAATTGAATTATTTTCAAAATTTTCAATTCAAAATCAATTAAAATTCAATTATTTTCCAAATTTTCAATTTAAAATCAATTAAAATTCAATTATTTTCCAAATTTTCAATTTAAAATCAAATAAAATTTAATTATTACCCAAAATTTCAATTCAAAATCAAAGAAAATTGAATTATTACACGAAATTTCAATTCAAAATCAATTAAAATTCAATTAGTTCCCAAAATTTCAATTCAAAATCAAAGAAAATTGAATTATTTTCAAAATTTTCAATTCAAAATCAATTAAAATTCAATTATTTTCCAAATTTTCAATTTAAAATCAATTAAAATTCAATTATTTTCCAAATTTTCAATTTAAAATCAATTAAAATTCAATTATTTTCCAAATTTTCTATTTAAAATGAAATAAAATTCAATTATTACCCAAAATTTCAATTCAAAATCAATTGAAATTCAATTTCAAAATATGTATAAATAAATAAATTAGTTCCCATAATTTCAATTCAAAATTAAAGAAAATTGAATTATTTTCAAAATTTTCAATTCAAAATCAATTAAAATTCAATTATTTTCCAAATTTTCAATTTAAAATCAAGTAAAATTTAATTATTACCCAAAATTTCAATTCAAAATCAAAGAAAATTGAATTATTTTTAAAATTTTCAATTCAATATTAAAATAAAAAAAAATCACCTCCATGAAGTTGGCGTCGACGCTCAGCGTCAAAAATTATTTTTCACGGGTCCAAAAATATCAAATCATTTTTAAAAAGGTTTTGGGTCCACATTAATACCTTGAAAAGTATTTCTCATTTTCTTATTTGGACTGAAAATTCTAAAAAAAAAAAAATAAAATTTGACATTTTTGGTCCTGTGAAAAACAATTTTCAGCGTTGAGCGTCGACGGCAACTTCAGGGAGATAAAAAATCGACTTTTTCGACTTTTTTTGGAATGTAAATCGACTAAAACATGAGCCAAAAGTTCTGAACGTTCAAATAAACAAACGACTTTTTTTGTGCCTTTAAGTCGATCCGAGGCCTGGAAATAATATTTTCCCATGCAAATTATTCGAATTTTTTATCTTACACATTTTTTTTTTGCAACGTTTCTCTATCAAATATTTTTTGAAAGAAGAAAAATTTTAGGCAACAAAATTAATAATTATTTTTATTCAAAAAAATTTTTGCAACGTTTTTTGATGAATAATTTTTTGAAGAAAAATTTGTGGGCAAAAACTTAATAACGACGTAAAAAACATAATATTCCCAAGTTTTAATAGACATTTTTTTGTTTTTTTTTTCAGATGAGGAAGTAACTATTAAAAACATTATTTCTAAAAAAATGTTGCAGCATTTTCAAAGAAATAATTATAAACCATTTGATTCGTTCAAATAAAATTATTTTATTCATTTCAATAATTTTGATTGAATCAATAGAACGTTTGGTCAAATGCAGAGTTAAGCATTTGGTTGTTTCAAACAAATTTTTTTCTCAGCGAAGGGTGGGACAAGAACAATAATTGCCCAAGCATTTTTTTGTATCA